GGCGTAGGCGAGCAGATGACTGAGATCTGTCAATTACTTTCGATGCTTCTAGACGCAGGAAGTGACGTCATACCAGGAAGTTCAGTTTAGGCGTATTCATTCCACCCTCTCCCTTTGTTGACAATTGAAGAGTTAAGGTTTAGGGTTCTCGTCGATTAATTTGTTCAAGGGTGTTGCAAGGATGTTCAATAGTTTTAAAAAATATGAATCTCGTATATGAATCGTCTGTCAAGAACCTGTATAATTCTGATTTAATTTGCAACACAATAAAAACGTTATACTACGGTTTCTCAGCTATACAATAATTTTATTTCCGAGATTTTCTCTAATTTTTAGAGGCAGTCATTGTATTTTCGAAGAAAAGATTGTGTGAATTCGCAATTTCTATTGTGTATGCTTGCAAATTAAATATCTACACAACGTTTAAGGAAATTAGAAAACTGGAATGCTGCCTAACTTTTTACAGCTAAAATAAATTTGTTCCTAAAAATCAGTCACGTTGTATTATATAATTTGTTGTATAACATCTCTGGAATTATACATTCAGTACTGTAATGAATATGACCCTTTGGGATAATCGGAGTTTGAGTATGATAATATGTTTAAGAAAAGCAAAATCCTTTAGTACCCCGGTAGTGCTTTTTTCTTTGGTAATTACTTTCTTGTTTATTTTTTATCACCGCTATTATTAGCCGAAAGGAGCGTTGGCCCAAAAGGGTTATTAGTTTCAAAACGGGATTTTGAGTTGAATCACTATAAAAGTCATTTATCAAATTGTTTGCGCCAAATATTATAGCCCTGTGTTATATTTAAAGAGATTAAGTAGGGAAGAATCTGCATGAATATATGCATGTTTTTCGCATTATGAAACAACACGGTACTTAAAGCCATCAAATTTTCAATAAAGTATCCTCCACCCGAATATGAACACCTGGTAGCCCAAATTTTGAATTTGTTTTATTGTGTGTTTCGTATTTTGTAAAACTTTAACGAATTTTTTTTATTAACAAAGCCAATGATTTCAAAGCGGACAAGCAACACTGTACGAAAAACAAAAAAAAAAAAAAAAAAAAAATTCTCCAGCGCACTGCCTATCGGAAATATTAATGATAGGCTGTTTTTAAATAATGTTGCGTTTCTATGAGTTCGTGTATTTGGAGTGATTGATCATAACATTTGATGAAGAAACAAAACACAATTTATTAGCCAATATTACTCAGAAAAGTTCCAAAAGAACACGTTTACAGTAGTCGAAAAACGACGACAAACACGCTGAAACAATCAGTAACACAGCCTTCAAGCTATCAGACTGTAAAGGTGAAGACAGCTTCACGGTAAAACACTAAAGTACAGCTCCCGACTCGATCCATCGGTCTCGGAGCTCAACACGCTCAAGATAAAACTCGACGATGCACTACTATATACTGACGGTATACTCCTACTCTGCGTATAGGCAGGGTTTATATACCTTTTGGCCTGCCTTCGAGAACATTCTGGGCCAAACCGGTAAGAATTCGTTCTAGAAATACTCCATCCGTCTATGACACGTCGCCAAATGGGAGATTTCGCGCCAAATCTGGTAAATGGGGGGAAACGCCCCTTTGGGCGTAATATAAAATCTGAAAGCCTTCACATTTATTGCTATTAATTATTTTTACTAGCCCAAAATGGCTAAAGTTTAGAAAGAAGATGTAGATCATAAGAGCTTTATTTTCCTTTTACTTTTTAATCTGTTTGGTTTAAATAAATTGCATTTAATTCACGATCAAAATATTAAACATCAATCTAAAATAGTTAAAAAATATTAAATATTTTTCTAGAATTATGATACATTTTTTTTTCTTTTCAAATATATAGAAGATATACAGCGTTCCCATGTTAATCAAAATATATATTCTATAAAAAGTTCTGCTATTCCACCTGGGCCATCGTTATTGATAATCTTTACTGATAAACCATATTAAACTTTAACAAATTTAATAAGTTAATATATATATTTTAGAAGTTATGATAACTAGACAAATGTATTAAATTTTATGCAGTTTACTAGTTTATTTAATAATAATCTTGTAGAAACATTAGGTATTTTTCAGAAGCAGGTGGATGCGAGCACGGTGCATCGGCTATGGCGAACATGGTTGAAACAAGAAATGTGGGAAGAAGGAGTGTGCAGGTGCAGCCAGAGTGACGTCAGCACGCGTGGATCGACGCATCCGCCGACAAGCTGTGGCGGTCCCGCAAGTCACTTGTACCGCGATTCTGCAGCATGTGGAAGATACCCTGGATCTTCCCGTGTCGACCAGATCCATTTCCCGTCGATTGGTTGAACGTGGCCTGCACTCACGGCGTCCGTTAAGAAGACTACCATTGACTACCACGGCATGCCGTGGTTTAGAATGGTGCCGGACTGGAGCGATGTGGATAACAGAATGGCGAAACGTCGTGTTCTCAGATAAGTCACGCTTCTGTTTATCCAGTGACAGTCGCCGCATACGTGTGTGGCGTCGACGTGGAGACAGATCTAATCCGACAGTAACTGTGGAACGCCCCACCGCGCGACAACGTGGCATAATGGTTTGGGGCGCTATTGCCTACGATTCCAGGTCACCTCTAGTTCGTATTCAGGACACTATGACGGTCCAACGATACTTGGATAATGTACTGCGGCAGGTGGCAATCCCCTACCTTCAAGGGCTGCCTAATGCAATTTTTCAGCAGGATAACGCCCAACCACACAGTGCTCGCATCTGCCAACATGCTCGGCAAGGTATACAGATGCTTCCCTGGCCACAGTACTCTCCTGACCTGTCACCAATCGAACATGTGTGTGGGATGTGATTGGACGCCGTTTGCAGACTCTGCCCCTGCCTCGTTCAGAAGACGAACTGTGGTAAATGGTTGAAAAGGAATGGAGAGCCATCCCTCAGGACACTATCCGCACTCTTATTGACTCTATGCCTAGACATGTTTCTTCGTGCATCGCTGTCCGCGGTGGTCCTACATCCTACTGAGCGGACGCTGTTCTCGCTCTGTATTCTGACTGTCATTTTGAAATAAAGATCACTTATCGCTGCTTGCTGTCTCTGTCCTTTTTCCAAATTTCATCATTTTCTGACCACTCCTTCTTGGTGTTGCATTTTCAATATCGAGCAGTGTAAAATGATAGCTTGGGGAGTTAAATGGTTGCAATATCATAGAACCAAATTTACTTTAAAGTATAGCTTATTTGGGTGAATATTCAGACTTCTAATTACATCTACAAAGAACTACGTACCTCATTTAAATTGATAAATTGGAGAGAATTTTTGCCTTTATCAGACTATGAAAGCCAAATAAAGCTGAAAAATAACTTTTCGATGTAGATAGGCATATTGTCTAAAATAATTCTGGAATTATACCCAGATTGATACTTTGTTGTAGTTTGTAATATACGCGTATTTTCATATGCTTTTTAAAGGGCAGCCAATGCTGTCACGGAAAGTAATGGTTTCGGCCATCTGCATGGGTTGCAAGACAACCATGAACATGGTGTTATAGTCTTAGGTGGTCTCCGACCAACCGAACCTTGACGAGCGCCCTGTGAGCCAGTTTATCGATGGGATTTGAGAGAGTTCATTTAGTGTAAGAATGCGTTCTGGAATTGAAGCTCTTGCTTCGTAGCAAAAAGGAATTTGTTCCATCATTCCAATGTGATTACTCAACTAGTTTCTACCTCCTGCCTAATATGAAGGGTGTTCATTTGGGAACCTGGTCATCCCTAGTTACATTTAGTTGCAGATAGAGCGTATCAGTTTGATTGATACACTCTTCAATGACGTCACAAGCCAACCCCTTTTTATTTTTTTTTTTTTTTATTTTATTTTTTTTTTTTTTTGGTAATGTCACTTTGAGTGTAAGAAGGTACCTATATAAGCAGTTCATCTGCAAGTTATAGGCATAATTTGTAAAAGTACTAACATAAATTTATGTTTATATTCAATTTGATTTAAATTATTTGCTCTGTAAATAGTTATTGTTATTCAAACAAAACTGACACTAAATAAAGACGGTACCCCTTCTTCTAATCATCTTAACAGAGGCTTAGTTTCTGTTTTACATTTATTAACCCAGTAATTAATATTTTACATATTTAGACTCCTGCATACATTTAAAATTCGCATTTTATCAGTTGTTGTCAGAACAAGAGTTTCTTCAAAAATTAATACTCTTCTTTTCCTTTTTTAACTCTTTGATACTACTGCATGATGATTAAGTTATTTAATTCACGTTGTTACGCCTACTCTAATAATCTGCTGTAATTCCGAAAATCTTGATCGACCTTTTTGATTTGTTATTTTAAGCAGCATTAAGTTATTTTAAGCAGCATTTAAGTTATTTTAAGCAGCATTAAGTTATTTTAAGCAGCATTTAAGTTATTTTAAGCAGCTTTCGTCCATGTTCCCCAAGTTACACATACATCTTAACTATTCATTGATGTCCAGTGTTTCGTATCTGGTTTATTGTATCATGGACATCATTCTTCACCCAATTTTACAAATAAAACGGTTCAAATCGCACGTGAAGTGCATTTAATTTCAGGGTCACGTTATCCATTGTTAGATAATGTATTGATTTAATTTTCCTATGTTCAATAATGTCAAAACTAAAATAACAATAATAATAATCAACGATATTACTTTTGGAGAATACTTTTATACATACTGAACCTCTGTTATAATAATTATCTTATTTTTGCCCTGAATCTGTCAAAATATATAAACAGGAAATCGCATGATTTAATAATGACTCCATATAGGTATCCCACTTTTACCTTAACGTTGATGTTATAAACTGATTCAGTATAAAGCAGTCATATCGCGTTAAATATAGGGTGTAAAAAAAGATATAAATATTTCAGTATTCAAAATATTGTTAGCATATTGCTTTTAAATTAAAATTTATAAAACTAGGTATGCATCCTGGTCATTTTTGATTTCTGCTAACAAAGCTAATCTATTTAGGGCTATGGGTAGACATCTGGTTTTGGATCCAGGCCGTATCTGTCGGAAGGCGAGGCGTCTGAGAGGTAAACAGGCTTTGATATGCAAGAATGAGCCGGAAGTAGTGACAGCTATTGCTGAAGGATCTAAAAAGGGAATTCATGAATGTCAATACCAGTTTCGCTTCCGAAGATGGAACTGCACACAAGCTAAACGATCTTTAAAAAAAGTACTTAGCAGAGGTAAGTTCTCAGTGTTTCGTAATAGTTTAAGGTAATAATTCGTACTGTCTTCTTAGAGAACATTTTTATCTTCTAAATCTCCGCTTCGAATTATAGTATTTAGTAAAAAATTGTACATGCCTCTAGTTTTACATTTAAACCCCAACTATGGATATGTGTAATAGTATAATCTATCCAAATTGGAGGTACTTAGATGAAGGGGGTTACAATGGAGATGTTGCGCCTCCGAAACCTCTCAAAAGGTTGGTTACTAAAGAGTTATAAAAGACTCAAGATTCCATCTCCTAGGTTGCTTCAATTCAATTTGAGATGGACCTTAGTTCTCGCGCCCTTTATTTTAATACTAGCTGCTACGCGGCCAGCCTTCGTCTGGCTTTTAAATGTACCCTAAAATGCCTAAAAATTAAATTTAAAACCTGCACAGAATTTTATATTTTAATAAGATAAACTAATATAGTTTCGTTTACAGGCTATCGGTAAATATTAATAGATATTTAGTGACAGCATGCAATATAATTGGGCTGATGAAAGATGTTAATTACTTTTGAAGTTAAAGTACATTCGAAGAAAAGTTTTCAACATTTTAGATGATTGAATGGTAAGGTGTCGGGTTGAAGGGAAAGTAATGCAGACGGAGAGACAGAACTTAAAGTGAAAAAAAAACATTTATAACACGAATTTAATCATTATTACGAACACTGACATTTTCTTAGGCCTCTGGCCTTCTCTCAGGTAATTTTTACATGCTGAGTTTTTTTTTTTTTTCCCCACAAAATGTATATCTCTTGTATACCGTGAAAGTTTTTGCCCTGAAGTAAATCCCGCAGTGATCTAAAACAGGAATAATTTGAAGGCGCAATATCTGGAATCTTAGGCTAATAAAGAAGTTCCTTTCAAACGGCATTAAGCTTTTGTCGTGTCATTCTTCAGTGTGGGTGGTAATGTCGTCCTAGTGAAAAATAACCATCCCAAGTCTTTTCATCAATATCGGTGATCGTTTGATGGTTAAATCCCGTTTCAAAGGATATATCTGAGGAGAATAAACGTCTATATTCATGTTTTGATTATTTTCTAACAACTCATTCACTATTTCAAGAGAAAATTCATTTTGGATGTAAATCTGGTTTCGTTTTGAGTCTTGGATTCTCCTGTTTAGATTTCAATAGCTGTCTTTTTCGAATGATGCTCTTTTTTTTTTTTTTTTTTTTGGTGGGAAGGGGGGAAGGAGAATCATTGTGTATTAAATATTGCCCGTGGTTTTAAGCTATGAATTCAAATGGAACGCAGACACCAATCTAAGAAAACCTTCTTATTTATTTTAAGAAAGCTGTTGTCGTTGTCAGTACACTATTGAGTCTCTCCCTTACTTCTCCGCTGATGATAAGAGACCTGACTTGATCAGCGCGTTCAGTTTATCATCACGTACCTCCTTAGCTGCAGTGCCTATAGACAACGCTCCTCTACTAGACCTAGAAGATGACCTCCTTGAAAAATTTTAATTCATCAAGATCCAGTTTCTGCTTCCCAACACCTCTCCTTCACCGTGGCCGAGGGACCAGTAGATCACTCCAAATTTTAAAAAGCTCTACACTAAAGCGTTCTTCGAGCATTGGTTTTATGTAAGTGAAGAAACCAATATCACCTTCAGAGAGTTTTGAGAAGACCGTTTTCTCATCATTTCCTGCCTCAAGATGATCGATAACGCGTCGAAGGCTGTCACATAATGAACGCTTATTTCTGCATGGAAGAAGTTTTGACCAGACAGCATTATCGATCACGACTCCGAGGAATTTGAGCAAGTGTCTGTGGAAGCTGTAATCGACAAAATTGTGTCTCTGGTCAAGATTATGGGACTAGAGTTGGATAGCAAAGACATCGATGAGCCAGTGGAAAGCATAGATAGGAGCTGAACACCGAAGAACTTATAGAGCTGCATTCTGTGTCATAATAAGAAGTTGTGGAGAAGATTTCGTCAGAGGAGAAGAAGACCTTTGGAAATCACGAACCGTTTAGTGAAATAAAGGAGATGTTGAAAGCATGGAAGACTGTTACATCGTAGGTTAAGAATCATCATCCTAATGATGCACCAAATATTCATGATACCAGTTTATAATTGCATTATTGTAAACTCGTTTGAGTATTTTCTTCGGAAGTGAGCGCATTATCTTATATTACATTGATTCCTATGGAAAAAGAATTGTTTCTCTTAACGAGCGTTTCGTATCAGTAAGATTCCGAAACAAATTATGCTAATTAAGCGTGATACCACTGTACTTATGCCTTATAAATATTCCAAAGTTTAAATCAAGAGATAGAAATTAAACTAATTCTCAACGCTGTAGCACCTTTGTACGCTTATGAGTACAAGTTAATGGAATTAAATGCAAAAGCTTACAAAATCTTGATGTAATTTCAAATTATACTAAATTACAGAGCATACGTAAAGATTTAAATTTTAGATGTAAGTTTATAGCTTTGGGCACTTGTGAACCAATAGAATCGTAACGCATTTATGTAGAATTTTTGATTGAACCGTCTAAAGTAATTTTAGTAAAGGTGAGTTCCCAATAAGATAAATAAAGATTAAACAAATAAAAAATTAATATCCTGTTAAGAAGAACACTCATAGAGGAAAGAGTAGCACTCAAGATTTTATGACGGAAAAATATGCAAGTAGAAAAGTAAATTTTTATTCATTTTGCTGTTTAAAAAACGTCTTACACAAGGCAATTAATTTGTATAAATATAAATTTTTTATCGCTCAAGCTAATAATTTCTTATCGCCTTACTATCAATGTAAAATGATTATGAATTTTGTGAAAGAGATCTGAAGATTAAAGTTAACATTAATGAACTGGCGTAAATATAATTGCTATGTAGTTAAAATTTCCTCGTAGTTTATTGGAAACCAAAGCGTAGCTTAAACATTCCTCTAACATAAACATTCTGCATAGTTTATTGGAAACCAGAACGCAAAGTAAAAATTCTTCTAACGTAAGTTCAGTTTTGTATTTTGTTGCATTATTTTTTGCTATATTTCCTTCATATTATATTAAATTTAAAACTTTTGTCTCTACAAATTTGTTTTTCATTCGATTTTTTTATTTCATAGATACTAGAGAAACGGGATTTGTAAATGCAATAACGGCTGCAGGTATCATCTTCTCCATCACGCAGGCTTGCAGTTACGGACAGCTACTGGATTGCTCATGCGAAAGAAACACCCCTCCTGTGCCTACATCACAGCCATCAGCTCCTCAAACTCAAGATTCATCCGATGGTCGCTGGGACTGGGGTGGATGCAGTGATAATATCGATTTCGGCTATCGAAAGTCCAAGGAGTTCATGGACGATAGATTCAGAAGACGAAGCGACTTAAAAACGCTTTTACTCACTCACAATTATGAAGCAGGCAGGCTGGTGAGTTTTGCATCTGTCATATCCTTCTTTTTCTTGGGCGTGTAGCTTCTGGATATGTATTTCCTTCCTACCGTAGACGTATCGTATTGTGTGCGTTGCATAAAACTGCCATTTTAACGGCACAACACTTTATTAACACACAAATAAAAATAATAAGTACAAACGAGTAACACACAAGTAATACTTCGTACTGACATACAACACGTTTCCTTCGTTACTTCGCTACTACCTACTAACTACTCTTCTCTAGTCAGTTTCATGAGAGAGAGGCGTTGCAGGCCGTTCGGCTAAACTGCGCATGCGTGGTCATCACGTCATGACACCTCCCCTCGAAAAGATTTGATTGCGTCTTTCAATGACCTGTCAAATCCACATATATAAACATTTCTTGAAACAAAATAAAATAACATCCATGAAATTTTCGAACTTAATTAACCAATTCTTACCATTTTAAATTAAAATTCAGTAATCCTATTCAATTAAAAGGATGTAACATTCAATTAACATTTCAAACTTAAATCCTTCACATAATCATAATCATATGAGCAGTTATCATATAAACGAGACAATACAAATCAATCATTTAAAATTAAACATAATACTTTAGCAAACCCTGGCTAAATCTATAAACACATTACCTACGTTAGAAAAAAAAATTAGCATTTTAGCTAAAAAAAAAATCAAACTAAACAGTCAAAATGTCTTATAGTTCATAGTTCATAACATCAGTCATGCTTCACTCACTGGGAAATATAATCATGTCATTTTAAGTCACGTCATCAATAAACTCAGCATGGTCTTTTTGTCTACACATAATGTTACTGTTCCATTTTGTTAACGCATAAATTACTGGATGCACATATTCACTTTCTGATTCAACGATTAGCTTTAGCTGTAAAAGCTCATCTATTTGTCGATCAGCTTCATTTCTTAGAACTTCAGGTATTCGATACGGTTTCTGCTTTCTTGGCATACTTCCAGGTTTCAGTTTGATGCTGTGTTCTCTCCCATTGGCGATTTTCGGAATACCAGTTCTTAGGTTCTTATGCCTTCTTAAAATTTCCATAAGTTCTTTCTTTCTTCTTATGCGGTTCAAGGTGTGTAAAATCACATTCCTCATTAGAATAGTGTTCTTTTGCTTTCCGTGGAACAATTCTTGGAACGTTTTCAACTTCACCGAAATCAATATCTGTATCATATATCACACCGACATTATTCACAGCGGTATTGAACTCTCGTATCTTGTTTGCGTGAACGTGCTTCGATGAATTGTCAGGCATTTGTACTATGTAACTATAATCAGTATGCTTTTTGATGATCGTAGCAGGTCCCGTCCATCTGGCATAAACTTTGTTTTGCCTATCAGGGATTAAAACTATAACCCTGTCACCTTCCTTGAATTCTTTATGACGGGTCTTTCGGTTACGGTAGAATGCATAAGCTTGTTGCTTTCCAACATCTGTAAGTCCTGCGTATTCAGCAGCTTTTTCCAATTTCGCCTTCAAATCATTCAGATAATCGGTAACTGAACTTAACTGTCCATGAGGAACAAGAGTTTCATTAGTCCATGACGATTTCAAAATAGACAACGGGCCATTAGGACGTCTTCCATAAAGCATTTGGAACGGACTAACACCAGTGGTAGCATTAGGAACTTCTCGGTAGGCCCAAAGTAAATACGGTAGATGTTTCTCCCAATCTTTCGAATGTTCTCTAACGGTATGATGTATCATTCCCTTTAAAACAGCATTAAATCTTTCTACCAGGCCATTTGAACTTGGATGATAAGGAGTCGAGAACCTTGGGGACGATCCGATCCTTTTCAAAAAACTCTTGGGTCAACGAAGCAGTAAAATTAGTTCCTTGATCTGAAGCAACAATTTGAGGAATTCCTGTGCGTGAAAAGATTTGCAACAATGCATCGCAGGTTGCTTTGGCATTCAAATTCTTCAATGGCACCGCTTCGGGCCCCCTTGTACATTGATCAACAGCACACAGAACATATTTGTAACCTCTACAGCTTGGCTCTACAGGTCCTAGGATATCCACATTAATTACCTGGAATGGTTCTTTAGGACGTGTTACTGGCGTAATCGGAACTTCATCAAAGGGACGCTTTTTCGCTTGAAGTTGACAAGAAGTACAAGCACTGCAGTATTCATTTACATCTTTCTTGATTTCCGGCCAATATAACGAATATCTCAAACGTTTGGCTGTCTTCTTGGTTCGCAGGTGGCTTCCCCATAAGCTAGAATGCTAAGTCCAAAATTTGTGTTCTTCTTTCTTTAGGAACGACTAACTGGTAAACTCTTTCTCCTAGAACTTTATCTTTATGATACAAAAAGTTGTCAATAACAGTAAAGTTATTACTTCCGTTCTTAACATTTTGCCAGCATGTTTTTAAAGATGGGTCATTCATTTGTTGCACTCGAAACAGTTCTGAATCCGAAACACATTGATCGTGTCCCGTGCTACCTTTGGAATCATCCTTACCTGTATCTTCATATACAAGCGCACAACATTCTATTATCTTCTTAACAGTTTCATTACATTTTTCATTAATTAGGTTATCATGGTTAAGTATTTCGTCAAAATTTTCAGTTTCATGAAAAGGCATTTCACCGAAACTATCAGTAGCAATGTTCACATTTTTACATTAATAATAAGTAAATAAAAATAATAAGTACAAACGAGTAACACACAAGTAATACTTCGTACTGACATACAACACGTTTCCTTCGTTACTTCGCTACTACCTACTAACTACTCTTCTCTAGTCAGTTTCATGAGAGAGAGGCGTTGCAGGCCGTTCGGCTAAACTGCGCATGCGTGGTCATCACGTCATGACAGCACCCCTCACGTTTTTTAAACCGTTCCTAAATTTTCAAGAATTTCTAGGAAACATATTACTCACTTCTTTTCTTTCAATCATCACTGCGGTTTCCGTCAAATTAAACTTACAAAGGAATTTTGAGCTTGAAGAACCTATTATTGTTTCTTACCATTAGTGGGCGTAAGACTAACCAAATTTCCTTGGTAATTTAATCTAACGATCACTAAAAGCTCCCGTTAATGTAATTTCCTTCCTGTCTGAATTAATTTAATTCTCTTCCTGACATTGATTTATTCATACTTCAACCAAACATTTTAAAAACTCATACAAATAAACTATGCGACTGATCAAATTTCTGCGGTCACGTATAAAAGTTTTCAGGTCCAAGCCAAAGACTGGTGCAACCTTTGCCTCCTGCCGCGGTAATATTCATTCATTTAATCTGATGTTACTGTCAAGACAATTATTAATCTTTTACTATCTGTCATTATAGTTACAAAAATTAGTCACAACAGCAACATCAGCGTTGTGACAATATTTGTTGCCCCATTTGTTGTTGTCCAAGAGATTGAAGTCCATACTAAGATTATAGAGATATGGGTAAATTTAATAAGTTTAATGTATTTCACAAATGCTTAATATGTCCACCTTTGACGATATGTATGCAATCATTCGTATTCTTCCATGAACATGCCGTAATTTTCCCCATGTGTAACATGAATACAAACCATTTCCCTTACAAGTCCCTTAGAATGTCTTCTTCAAAAGCATTTCTGCCTTTCAGCTACTATACTGATTATCATCAATCAAGGACAAACTACAAAAACGACGATTAATCAAAAAGTTAAATATAAAATTTAATGAAACAGAGCCGCAGTATGCAAGACATAGTAAGGTATAACATAACGTAAAAAGAAATTACCAGGCAGTTATGGTATTATAGAAATTAGCATATGTATAAAATGAACAAATAGAATGTGTCAGTTTGGTATAGGAAAATTACCTTTAATATGAATTATGATATCCCCTAGAAGCAATACAACTCCTACAGCGATGTGCGATGCTGTCAATCATGCAGTCTAGCAGTTCCGTAAGAACTAACAGCTCTCTTACAGAGCAGACGTAATTGCTCTTGCAAAGCAGTTGCAAGCATGGCAATGGTCTGAAGCATGCATGAAATTTGCATACTGCAGTTTTACTCAGCAATTTTTATTTAATGAGATATTCAAATGTTATACGGATTAGCTTAATTTTGAATCAGTTGTCGCTATTTTTATGATTTTTCTTTAATTTTTGGAGATCAGTGTATTTATAATGTGATTTTTCGTAATCTATTAAATCTGAATTCAATCCTATTTCATGTCCAACATATCAGAGTAGACCAGAGCAACAGCTCAGGTGGTATAGTTATGTAAAGCTTCTGGACATAGGCAGCAATTTGAGACAAAGTGATAGCATCCTTTAAGCCCGACCCGCGCAGAAAAGCCACATGAGATTAAATTTGAAGCTTGGTATGACCACTCCATTAGCATGTCTTTTCTTTATCCTGTACATCATATTCACCTTTGTTTGGAAAATTCAACTGAGATGCTCTCGCAAATATCTCTGTTTTTGTGACCAGTTTAGCCTTTTGGTATGTTGTAACATCAAATAATCTGGTTTAAAGGCCTCTTTCTTTGCATTTATCGAGGTATTTTGGAAAATATTTTCTGTTGTTCTGACACTCGTGGCAATAATACTGCAAAATCCAATATTTGCATGTTGCTGCAGAGTTTTTAATAAACACAGTTTTCGGAATGAATTTGGAAGCGACTGAAAATAAACTGGAAGGATTCATTTATAAACTACGGTTAGAATGGCTAGAACAGTCACTCCGAAAAAGGAACAGAATATTTAAAAATAACTGTGAGTTTTCATTCTAAAACCTTGAAAAGTTTACTAGTAAAGTTTCAGAAAGAAGTTTTCAGTTAACACAATAGAAATAGTTTGAACATAATATAACTATAACAGAAATAGTTTGAATCTAAACAATTACGAAAATCTGCACGTTAAAGAATTAATCCCCCAGAAACTAATACAGGACATAAAATAATACATTTAAAATAAGTTGTTCAAACTACCAAGCCAAATGGTAGAATAAAAGTTTGCTTTAGTATTATTTCATCATAAATTAACTTCGTATGCTGATTTGTGCACTGCTGCTAGAGGCAGGTTGCAGGGCTATATTTCTTTTCAAATTTCTTTTAAGTCAGGAAAATTGAAATAATTTGAAATATACGATAATGCTCAATACGCATAATAACTTTCCATCTAGTGAAACCTCCACACTCTTACCTGTTAAAGTTTATTATATCTGCCTTTGTAAAATTAGTTTAATAGTATTAGTTTGTACTATAAACAAGCTCGGATGGTCCCTAAAGCTTCACAGTTTTAGTGAACTTTAAGTAGACTTCGTTATTAGTCCCAAAACTAGTCCTTTTGTCATGGTGGTAGGAAAACAAACTGCCATAGTCTTCAGTCAATGGTCACCTCCCGAAGAAAACATGAATATTTGGAAATGTATAGTGCCCTTGGGGCATGGGAGCACATAAAATACTATCTAGCCGAATGTTCTTTTGAGAGGTGGTGAAAGGGAATAAGGGGTAATAAACCATAATGGCTTCTATTTCAAAAATTGGAACAGAACTGATCAAATTTCTACTGTTACATATAAAGATTCCCTAGGTCCAAGCCCAAGACTGGTAAAACGCTTCCCTCTTGCCGCGATAATTATTTCATCTGATGTTTCTGCAAGACAAATATTGTTCTTTTATTATCTATCATTGTGCCTACAAAGATTAGTCACAACAACATCAGTTGTTATGACAACATTTATTGTCCCATTTGTAGTCGTCCAAGAAGTTGAAATTTATATATTACTTAATATCCTGATTAGTTAATATATATTACACTAATCATTAAATTGAATTTTTTTCCCGAAACATCTGGCTTCAAGTGGTTAAGACCACTGATTGCTGGGAGTTCGAACCAGCAAGCAACACAAGCAAACAGGCTGGTTCACACAAGCTGGTTGTATGGTTGGTCTCGTTTGGTTTTTACATGTGTAACGTGAATACGAGTCAATCTTCTTGAACTTCCTCCATGAAGGCATCCCTCTGCTTACGCAAATAAATCATGTGAGTTTTTCCATATTCAATTAGCTTAAGATAATCTAAATAATATAATAAATATATGTAAAAACAGATCACTTAAACTAAACTGAATCTCCTAAACACGAAAAAGATTTCGTGAGACATAATATTTTTGTAAGGAAGAATTGAAGCAAATTTGAACAACATATTCTAATTTTGTTGAAAACCTGAAGTTACGTCCCAAACATTACATAATTGCGAAATCTATTCTAATAAAATTTTTCTTAGCGCAGTATGCAATCACAGAATACAATAAATTAAATGTTATCACTATGTAACTCATCTATATATTTAAATTGTTAGGTCTTTAAGCTTCATTTCATATATTGTATAACAAATGTAAATTTTGCCATAGAGGGAGAATCAGGATGGAATGTAAAAAATCAATTTTTAAAGATAAAGAGCTGACAACACTGAAGAAGGCATGTTAACTCGGGGTAGCTGTCTATGACTCAATACTCAGTATATTGCTCTTTTTATTTCCAGAAATCTATTAACTATTTTACTAAAGGCCTTCGAAGCCATCAGTTAATCATTATTCAACTTCTTTTGCAAAATTTTATCTTCTGATACCCTCCAACTTTAGGAGCTAACGAATATTTCTTATTTCACTTTCCTTTAAAAACATTTTTGAGTAATGGAAAACTTTCTCTATTCACGAATACGGCCGAAGTATCGTTTTTCATTAGGCCGTAGAATCGTTCGAACCACCTTGTTCAAAGCAAAGGCAGTGCAAATGTGTTCATATTGTAGGAAAAAAATATAATTCAGAGCTAAAAAGTACCTTTTTCTTTATTTTGAAGAATATTGTGATTGTTATATGTATATTCACAATGTGTTGCTTATATGCACACTGCTGGCCTTTAAAATTGCTGCACTATGAAAAAAAGCAATTAGCACAGTAATCATATTTGTTTTACACATATTCGATGATCACATTACACATACATTAGGAAGAATTTGATATAGATAACACGCAGCCCGACCATCTGTCAAAAGCAGCAAAAGCACTGTTATACGGCTATCCATAGACATAAACTGACTTTAGATGACGTTCTACTTAAGTCCAGCAGCTTCAGTTTCATACCCTGTGTCATACAGGCTAATGGCTGTGCTATACTACTCTCTCTCTGCAATTACTGACCTGATATTATTAGCTGCTAACAGATCTGAAGAATACGTTGACTAAAGCAGGAATCGAACATGCTCTGGTGTAAAAGAAAAACAAAACTGTTCTTTTGAAAGACAGGGCCACGGAGCTTCCAGTGCACATCAGAGACCCGGGCATTAAAATTTCAGTAATCTAACATAATAAAGTACCTGAGATTTGTATTAGAGGTGAATATGATGAGTACTCAGTAGCATCCCGCATTATTAGTCCGGATATTGGTTCGGTGTGACGATGAAGACTGCAAGCTTTCAATATTTATCTTTGGTGCCTCCTCACAGATACAGCTAGAATGAGATTATAAGCTAATGTAGGATTTGTCAGAAAAGATGACGTCACTCCAATCATGCATCTATGTGAGTAGCTGAATACACTATTGTAGAAGCTTATTGTTGTGCTGAAGTGTCAAGAAAGTCCAGAGCAATGGTCGTCTTGCTAACAGTCTAAGGTCTTGCGCACATCGTCGCACTATACGTGTGGATAGCCATCTATACGTGACAGTGTTTAGTTACGCTTACTCTCATACCGAAAAGTCCGTGTTCGAATCCTGGAGAAGACACTGATGTTTGTAAGCGTATGTGCCTGTGCAGCAAGAGGACATTCAAAATGCTCAGCCGAAATCTTATCGAGAAATTGATGGCAGGAGAAGACAAGTGGGAGATCTTCGGACCGTTCTTCACCCTTGAGTGCTCTTATCACAGAATTCCAAATTCCAAAAAGCAACGAGTAATGTGGAGCATTACTTCAATCAATTATGATACTACATAACTGTTAGCCTAGTTTCTACATGTACCTGTACGTTCGGATGCTTGATGTTACATTAGGAACCAAATTTCCTGACCCAGTATACGTGATGTGATTGCAAGATTCCTAACCGCGATATAGACAAGATGTCTCTCGTCATGAGCATTGCTGAGTCAAAGCGGTTGCGATCAAGCACGTTGCTCTGTGTGGCCCACCTGAACTCATCGATTGCAAATTCTTAGAATAATCACTGAATCTCGACCAACAAGCAGCAGTTGCGCAGCATGTTAATCCGCAAAGCTGCATTTCGCCCGCTATAGTGAGTTAAGAAGTGCTTATCTGAGTTTCTTTTCCTTATTTAAGGCATAACATGACCTAGAATACACGCAAGCACACACAGACATTAAAAAAAAAAAAAAATAGCAAGTGGAGATTTTCGAACGAAAAATCGTACCTCAATTTGCCATTTTACATTGCTTTCAGATACGATAATGTGGTCATGACGGGCAGTGCTAACCGTGTTTGCTTGTCCTAGCACCTCTTACCTTCCATATAAATGTCAGATTAGTTGTGGGCTTACTTCATGATACAGCAATTTAATGATCAGCAGTATATTTGCAGCTGTGTTTCAAACTTTGATACCTTTCAGGAAAGAAAATGTTTTGTCTTGAATGCACGCCTTTATGACCAATCCTTTTGATGTGTGTAAAACCTTTCATTTATTATTGGTGAAGAAAGTAGTATTTTTTGAGTGCAGTTCTCAATACATGAGTGCATTGTTTTCGTAGCAATAGGTGCACAAGGCTCGAAAAGTATTTTTTAATCTCTTAAATTTTTTAAATCCCTCTATTATAGCCACAGCATACTTGGTAATTAAGTGATTTATATATCTTTTCGAAAGTACGTTTCATTGCAAATAATACAAGGTATGATTCATTACCATACTTTTTGATGGAGATACAAGTATTTAGTTCTGTCGTCATGTTTAAGTTTAAATAGTCTGGAGTGAAAGAGATTATGATGGTTTATTACTATGTAGAGACTAATGGGATATTTTTATGTTCATATGTTTCATAAGCTCATAAAAATTTAATTAAGGCATTTATTTTTATCTATACGACAAAATCTTTCTCAACCAGTTATTGAAATTTTATTTTCCCATTTTCTTCATAAAGATATCGATCTCTTTCAGGCAGTAAAGCGGTACATGAAGGTGGTTCATAAATGCCACGGGATGTCGGGTTCATGTGCTGTGAAATCCACATGGAGGAAACTGCCTGAGTTTCGTGATGTAGGTAACAATTTGAAAGAACGCTTCGATGGAGCAGCTAAAGTAATGCCAGGAAATGACGGACAGGGTTTCATCCCAGAAGGTGCTACGATTAAGCCTCCAGAGAAAGAAGACATCGTGTACACCGAAGAATCTCCTAATTACTGTGAACCTGATAAGAAAACGGGGTCTCTTGGGACAAAGGGCAGGATCTGCAATCATACTTCAATTGGAGTAGACGGTTGTGAACTCTTATGTTGTGGTCGAGGATACGAATCAGTGCGCAGAACTCAAAGTATTAATTGTAAGTGTAAATTCCAGTATTGCTGTGAAGTGCACTGCGAAACTTGCGACAAGAAACATACATTCAGCCGGTGCTTGTGACGTATGAGCTCTCTTAGTGTCATGTACTGTGCCAATTTCTTTTAGAACAATGTATATACCAACGCACATTATCATTATACTTTCAGAAAAGCTCAGTGATCTCCATCACGTTTGGAGAATAAACCCGATAATTCGATATTTGTTTTAAGATTAGACAGCAGAACTCAAAATGAATTGCCCGTTAGAGCTGTTGTAGTCTGAGGTGCATCTGTGTGAAAACATTTGACGGAATCTAGTTGTTGACTTTTCGAAGATATGTTTGTTTATTTGCCTAAATTATTGCTTTAGCTGTTTCGTTTTATTGATCTTTTAGATAGCATCCTCTGATTTTAATACAAAACTGATTTTTGAGAACTGCTCATTTAAAGAACGGTTTCAAATTAAAATCTTTCCCGTATATCTATAATTTAAACTAGATACATAGTATGGTGGTAAGCGAATCCGTCACATAAATAGTTAAAAATTAGAATTGATCTGAAGATTTTTAACCAATTAAGAATATTCTATTACTCAGATTTAATTTCATTTTTCTTTAAAATATTTTATTTTGCTTTTATATAATATTTGATTCTGATAATTTAGTTGAGACATATGTCTTAAAACATGAAGGCATTTCTGTGGTATAACAAGCCTTTTTATGCTGAATTTGAAGCTGCTCTTTAATTCTCACTTTAGCGCATTTTCAACATTAAGTAATATAATCTAAATGTCTGAGTAAAGAAACAAAAGCTTGGCTTTAAAATGCACTGCTGATCCAAAACTTTCCTAAATTTCTTATTTATTTTTAAAAGATAAGATTAAAACGCTAACTTCGAAGTTTTCAGCATGAAAACAGGGCAAGCAAATGCTGCTTACAAATTTTGAGAGTGAAATTTATAAAAAGATGTTGAATTTTGCACTTTAGTGTGGAGTTCTGTATATTCTTCTACGCAAAAACTAATCATGTTTTCATATTTTATTCAGACACTGACCGAAAGCAATCCTTAATAAATGTTAATTTTGAACATTCCGGTATACTGCAGTTTAAACGGTCGGTCTAGGACAGGCTAAAATTTTGAAGAAAACATGAAAGCAATATTGTCATAATCGTGATCATGAAATATATGAAAGACATGAAACATAAAAAGCATAAAAATATTAAAAAAATAATTATCATAAATTTTTACTGCAATTTCATGGAAAGGAAAGGAGTAAACACTATGAAAGAAATGTTTTAAAGCATCGAAAACGAAGAAAAGTTTTCAGAGAAAGGAAAATGTGCAAGGTACCATGAAGTAATTTTAGTACAGTGATAGAGGAAGATTTTAGAATATTAAACATCTCCTAATATTCTAAAAGGTTTAACTAAGCACATTATATTGGTAAATAAAAACATGAAAGCACGAAGTAGAAAAATAATTATTGCTGAAGCCTTTACTGCTGTTAAGTGCAATGCAACAAAGTTAGGACGGTAGCTTTTGCGTTAAATGACTTCTTCATGTTCCACAAAATTTACAGTTTAGGTCATAAAAGTACGTTCAGGTACTTAGTGCTTAAACCTGCTTGTTGCATAATAACCATTAGAAATCGATTTTAAATAATAAACTACGAAGTGGAGAGAAGAAATATTTATTGTACTGTTTGTTATTTTTGGATGATTCATTTGGAAGATGGACTGTATTGTCACATATGATTCAAAGAATATTTGCTTCCATTTGTTGCCAATTTGTTATTGTAAATAATTTCGTTAATTAAATTTTACTGTTGAACCACATTGTCTCCATCATTTTTATTTTCAGTATAGCGCATTCACATACACAATTAGGATTCAAAGGCAACACGTTGGATTTCTGGTAATTTTGTTATCGTTTTACGTATATGCTGTGAAACAATACCCATAAAATATAAGATCCAAGATAAAGTATAACTTCCGAAAAGTCTGAAAGCTTTCAGATTTTACATTACGCTCAAAGGGGCATTTTTTTAACGTTTTGTCAGTTACCTTTTTTATTAAATATCATGTTCTTTGCACTTAAACCATAAATTTAAGTTCAGCAATATCGCAAAATAATTTTAAAATGAGCACATCTTTAGAATTTCCAATACACAGTCTCACGCGCTGAAGATAAAAATGGTTTCTTTGCACAACGTTGCCATTACTCGCTTTGAAATCGTTGAGTAGTTTGTTAATCAAAAATTCGTCATAGTTTTACAAAATATAAAATAGCTAATAAAACAAATTCCAAATTTAAAATTTGGACTTTCAGCTGCCTATATTCGCAGGAGGATTACGTTATTCAAAATTGGATGGCTCTAGGTACCGTTGTTTAATCGCAATGCGAGAAATATACATACATTTATGCAGCTTCTTCATTATTTAATTTCTTTAAATATAACAACAGGGCTGTAATATTTGGTGGCAATAATTTGAAAAGTGAACCAACATTTAAAGTTTTCAACGCAAAATGCCAAAACGAAATGAATAGCCTTTCTGGGCTAACGCCCTTTGGGCTAACAATAACTACGGTACACACTGAAGTCAGACAAAGCCAGTTAAGCATAGAATTAGGTAAGATATATTTGTATAAGAATTTTAGGTAATAAATATTTTTTTATATATATCCTATATACAAATACTATCACAAATTGTATATATACTATATATATATATATATATATGTGTAATGTTGTTGTAGAAATACTGATAGCATGGATGGTGATTCATAATTAAACAGCAAACTTGTCAGCCCAGGCAGAATAAATGTTCAGTTTTATTTCAATTCACATTTGTGGCCGTAATTCACATGGCACTCTAATCGTGCCTGTTTCAAAACATTTGCCTTTTGACAGCTTTGCGGTAAGAAAAGAAACAGCAGTCTACCTTCAACGAGGTGCAGAAGTAAAGGTCGTAGTTATTCAATATGGAAGCTAATTAATAGAAAAGTTTCAGTTCCCGATACTGTGAGTTGGAATTATGTACGTCATCATCGTTATGTAAAAGTCACATGACATGGATTAATCTAGAACAGAAAAAGTGATTACTATTTTTAGAATGGAGAGGGGAAATGCTCAATAAGGAATTAAGGAGATATTGTTAATTTAAATTGTAATTCTGATTTACATATTTTATTTTTCACACTTCCAAATGGGTTTCATAGCATAATAATTTAATTTATTTAAGTCACGATAATACTGAAATACTGTTACTAGGAGGTAATAATTAAATTCCGATATTAAATATATATATATATATATAATATTTTCAAAAATTAATGATTGTATTATTCAGTAAAGTAAATATCTTGTGTGAAGGATTATTGTAACTGGTAAAAATATTTAGCAAACAATACAGAAATTAAAATTAAAATAAAAAAATAAAGCGAATTGAGTATGTCAAACATTTTTAAATTAAGAATTAAAAAATAATTATTAAAATACCTTTCTATAATACTCTAAGAAAATTAAAATCGAATGTATTTTTAGATAATAACCCTTTGATGAGCCTATCTCATACTTTAAATTATGAAAAATTAAAATGCAGTTTATAATAAAATATTATGGAAATATTTTTTTAAATTATGTTTTAGTTCTTAATTTAAAATTTTTTAAAAAATTCCGCTTATTTATTTGTTTTAATTTCAATTTCTAATATTTGCTAAATATTTCTACTAGTTACAATAGTCCTTTACGCAAGCATATTACACTTTCCTGGATAGTATAATCATTAATTTTTGAACAATTAAATTTAATCCACCTCAGCTACATTTATGCTAGGTTTTTTGCATTGAAAGTTCTAAATATTACTCACCTTATTAATCATTTTTAATATATAAGTAATTTAAGGTTACATAGGTTATATATATATATATATATTAATTTATTACCCCTTGAGGAGTCGATTTAGGCCACTGAAATTTAAGTAATTAAACTGGATCAGGATTTAAATACTTTTTTTTTAATTTTTAGTTTAAATATTAATTTTCTAAAATAATTCATAATTTTTTTTTAACTTTTAGTTTTCCTCCTGTTTTGTCTAAAATTTAATTGTTTCTTGTGGTTTTTCAAATTAAATCAATTTAATCCTAACCATTGTTATTACCGTTTTCTTATTTTATCTACTATCGTTATCTTACGATTCATGACCATTACCTTTTACCTTATACTGGCTCTTCTACATTTTCTTCAACTTCCACCATAAACAAATTAATTTAAGTTAAAAATAATAATTTCAAAGTTTATCAGTGTTTGGTTGGTAACATTAGATTAGGCGTTACTCTGCTTCAAATTTCTGCTGCTTTATATAGCTTGCCTGTAAAAGTTTTGCTTGCCGTGATATGTTCGCAAGCACTTAGTTTAAAAAGAGGGAGGATAAATATTTTGCTGGGCTTTGTTGATATTAATTCACTTTCGATTTAACTTGGAATTGTTTAGAAAGTTGTCATTTCCAACCGCAAGCAAACCTGTTCTTTTTAATTTTCAGTTAAATAGACATGCTAATAAATACTTTTACCTTGGTTGTGCTATTTTGAGTTAAAAGTTAGAGGCATGAAAAATCATTGGACAGGTTACTACGATTGGACTATGATTACTACGATTTGAATTGGTAATTTACAATAAATATCGTAACTATGTATCTCTTCAAAAGCAACAATTTTTTAAAAAATCCGGCAGGTTTTTGTAGTTAATGGAGTCCATTACCATATTAGTGGATCTGGGTTCGAATCCTGGGGAAGATATAGATAAAACTGTCTCCCGTCTTTTGCGCACAATGATCGAAAACTTACTGTGTATCAACTTTCGGGAAATGGCCAAATCTTTCGGTGTTTCAGCCGTCTCATCATCGAGAACATTACCCAGAATGTAGTGTAGAAGGTAGACTATATAGCATTCTTTAGAACAGGAGAAAGATGCACATAAAAATCTAAGCCTGAGAAGGCTATCGGTGCACCCATACAAAGATGCAATTTTAACATTGGCAAAAAGTTGCACATGACAGTGGTGATTACATAATAAAAACTACTTCCGAAATTAAGAGAAAATAATTTTTGCTTTATTTTTTATAACCAAATATTATTTATCTTCCTGTTGCTCTGATTACTCTATATGGAAAAGTTCTATTCACACTGTATTTTATATAGTTCTGAAAAAGTGAAGCAAAATCAATAACGAGTTGGCCAAAAAAGTTTCAACTAGTTCTGGTAAGGAGTTGCATCATTTCTATTTCTTTCTAATAAAATTCTGGTAAAAATAAGGTTATCAGCTATCGAATTTTTAGCCGAAAAGTATAGCGTTTAACGATCAAAAGTGAGGTTCTTTTTCGGTAAACCGAAGACATTTTGTCCTTCTTTTATGGCTTAAAAATAATTGAGATTGTCTAAACGTTTATTACAGATTAATATTATGCAATGTATCAATGCTAATGCATGCTTGAGAAAAATGTGTTGGCAGCATTGAGTTGTCCATTTATGCCGATAGTATTACTAGTTTTATGCATGTGATTGATTGATCTTATGGCGAATGTCATATTGTATCATATTTTTTTAAATGTTTGTTAATGAGATTGAATGTGATTGTTCTTTGTGATGCACAATTCAATTATAAATGACAGCTTTGCTTTTATAGTACTTGGATTTTAGAAGTTCAAATGCCCATAAAGCTATTTATAATCGTAAATTATCCCCAAAAGACAGCCTAGTTATTTTGATATGTGTGAGTAACAAATTTAGTTGTAAAAGTGCATTATGAAATTATTTCGCATACTGCCGCTATAACATTAAGGTTTCTAATAAGAAAAGGTTGATATATTTAAAAATACAGAGCTAGTGAGACACAAAACGAAATTTAAAAGTTGTTCTAACGTTTGTAAATATATTTCCTTAGATAATGGTTACTGAAAGTGAACGAATTACGGCCTCAGAGTGGTGCAGAATATCTCCGTTTCTGTAAAACTCCACAACAGTTACAGCGTCTTCAAACGTTTATTTCAAGTAGATCTGTGTTTTATTTCAAGTAATCTGTGTTTTATTTCAAGTAAACCAAAATTCTATGCAATTCCAGAATCTGTATAAAACTTGATACACATATTCTGAAATTGCAAGTAAGGTTATGTACAGAAAATAAAGCGTAAAACATTTTGGGTTAATGTTATTGCATCTCATTCAGTTAAGGCCTAAAATCGTTGTTTATTCTTCCGTAGCTACTGATGTATCCATAATGAGTAGCATAACTAAAATACTTTAATATTGAGGGTGAAATATTTTGCTGGCTTTTGAAATATTACGATGGCAATCGGAAAATAGCGCATTCCATTGCAAAACAAATAAAAATAAATATTATTATTCAGTTTAAATCTTACAGGGGTATCAATTTTCACAGGAGGGAGCGTCAGATTTTATTATGGTCTCAGAATATTTTTCTTAAACTTGCCATGAGTAACCTGAATGAACAACCCATTTCTAAAAACTGTTTGTCTCATATTATTTTAAAGGTATCCAAATATGCAACATCAAGGCTAATACAGATGTGGAGAATTTGGTATCAAATGTGTTCTTTCAGTTCAAAAATTGTGCCATTAGGAACGTAGTTGTAAAACCGTTCTGCGTCTTTTTGAAAAGTTATGAGGCATGTCCCGAAAATTCGATTTAATTTGCAATGACTTTTAAGGAATTGGGTCCCCGAAACAGTCACTTCAAAATTTTAAGCTAAGGTAATTAATTATACAAAGATTGTGTGGGGTATATTTGGAGGAAAGACTGGAGATTATAACCTGATG